CCTTCTTGCACTTTCGGTTAGAGTCTGGGCAATCTGGCTGGCGGTAGCGGTTGCGTTCATTAGTGCGCATCCTATCTGTCCAGGTAATAATCCTGGATTTTAAAAGCATTCTAAGAAGCGTAATTTTTAATTTTTCGTTTTTAAATAAGTCTACCTGACATACTTTTTTTATTGCCAGACATTTTCCACATTGCTAACTATGTGCCAGACGGAATCACATTTACGGCCGCTGTCTATGATCGATTTATAATCTAAAAATTTTTCCAATCCAGATTTCTTGCGATCGATCGAGAATCTGCATTAATATTATATATGACAATCCCTGCTTTTAAATCCTTGTAAAAAAGGATTGGTCGTCCCTCACTTGGTTTAATTTTACGTGTTGCCCGTATTTGTGAGGATATTACTACTTTACGACGTTTATTTATAAAACGTATAGATTTATTGTAAAATAATACTAATCTCATATATAAAATTCTAGTGTCACAATGTTCAAACCCACACTCCTCCGAAACGGCTTGACCGATTCTTATGAATTTTTTATGCATATTCAGAAAGTCTGAGAATCGGACTTCTTTTTTTCATCCCCCTAAATGTTAAGGGTGGTCACAACCCAAAATTTTTATTTTTTAGATAAAACTTTTTGTTTTTATTTTTTTATGATACAGCTTACAAAAATACGTTGTCACCCCTCTACGATCAACCCCTATTTTTATTATAGTAGATAGTTATTTTCATTAAACTAAGCAAATGTTTCCTATAAATAATATATACATGGCAAAACGACGTTTGCCGGGTCAGCTAGTTTTTATATAATAATGAATCTCGAAACTGACTCAAACCCAAAAAGTACTAACAAAAACAATTTTAATTTGTTTTTGGCATCAAAATTGAACTTCACGACGTCATTAGACACTGTATGGCATCAATTGCCAGCCAATTTGTATTGAGTCCATAATTTAACTGCTATTGAATTATTAGTTAACATAAATCATGCATATATAAATACAAATTCCTTTATTTTTCGCATACCTTTTTTTACAATGTAAAAAATAATGTTCAGACGAGATAGTATAATATTTTTAAGCGCTGTAGTTGACAACTTAGTAGGCCGTGCCTAATATAGCCAAAATGCGTTCAAATTCCGGAAAAGATATATATTTTCTACTTGGCGAAAAATAACTTGAAAGAAAACTACTTGGCGAAGAATCTAAAACCCGTAAGGCACATCAGGCTGATCAACCACATAAAAAAATATCAAAAATACACGTACAGAAGTTTGAAGTTACTACTTCAACTTTTATCGCTTCTGTATAGTTAAAACTGGGGTTTCAATTTAGTATCTGGTGTAAAGGTAAGAGCTAAAATTGTTTACGGATTTTGACATACGGAGTCAAAGCTTAAGGACTCCCATTTATCAAAATACTATAAGTTTTTGACCTACGAGTCAGACTTAGCGCTAAGTTTTCGATTCATACATACTCCTTACTTAATATGGCTTTCTTATATAAAAATATTAGAAGACGTGTGAAATTGGACTAATGGTAGTAGTAGGATTAGTTTACGACACTATAACTAATCTTGATTGCTTGAAAATTAACATTTTTTATTTATAACGCTCCTTGTAGTTTCAAGCGGCAAGTGCTTTCAAGAGGAAATTGCTCATAAAAATTCACTAGGCGCAAACCACAAATATATCAAAAAAATATTTATAAAATAGAACCTCGATTAGCGGAAATGTTTTGTTCCGTTCAAGCTCAAAAAGCTCCATTACCCGAAATGTCAACCCTCCGTTGAAATAAAATATGTTTATTATGGAACATAAGGTACAGATATCACTTATTCCACGTCATTCAATTTGAATAGGTAGACATCCCTACTCATCGGCAACGAAAACAGAGGGTGTAGGCCAAGAGAAAAAGCCGGTGGTACCGAGAGTACCTACTCTTTTAAAATCATCCAACACTTGTGAAATAATCAGCGAGTTAGGTACATATTTTTCCTTTAACTAGAAAAATTTAATTGTATCTCGAATATAAAATTTACAATCCTTAAAACTCGGTAACTTGAAACTTATTACGTCAATAGTTTGAAGAAGCATAGGTCATGGACTTTTAGGAATTGCAATGTTTCTTATTTCATCTCTCTAACTCAAAATTGGTAAGAATAAATCTTAACCTCTACAGACCGTATCAAAATCCTTCATAAACTCTATAACTTTAATTTTTTTGGGTCTTTCTTGATGTTCTACTACCAAGCTAGCTGTTAGATATTTGCTTATTATTTCATTACAAAAAAAAGGGTGCGTGTACTTATGTACGCGCGTAAGAAGTTATACTTCTTTGGCATTATTAATAATAGTTTTTGATTACATGCAAATAATTAAATAATCAAAGACTGGAAAAGGAGTCATTATAGTCAATAAAGTTCAGTTTACATTTGAAAAATTAAATAAATCAATATTTATTATTATTCTCTTACATTCAGTGTTACATAAATTCTATTATTATTCGAATGTTGTTTTTAAATTATGTCCAATGCCGTAGCATCTTCCGTGGCCAACTTCATTCTGTTAATTTTGTATCACGGTGCGCGCGCATCGTAAAATTTCACTCTCATCAATTTTTCATAACGCGCCTAAAGTAGTATAACTTCAATAAATATAAATTATATAGCAATTGATTTATTTACTTTTATTGCGCCGTGTTTTGTGAAAACTCTTGGTGTTTAAAAAAACTAGTAGTAGAAAAATACTGAGATATAATTTATTTTGTTAGATAGGGTGTCTAAAGGGCATAATTGAAATAAAAAAGCTCCTGCTTAGCACTTTAAATAGATGTGATACATCTCTCTACAGCACCAGCAGTGTCGGTTATTAGATATATACTTTAATGTAGACAGAATGTTACATCGAAATCCTTAATAGAACATTGTATCCAATGAAAGCTCAGTTATGTTATGTATAAACAGTACAATATGGCGAACCAGTACTATCTAAATTGAATATTACTTATCATATATTGACACATTAATTGAAAAACACGTTAAGTATACGATAAAGAAAATATTGAAATTATATTTAAATAGAAATAATATTTTACTACAACTACAATATAAACAAATAGCGTAGCTACAATAATTACTAATAATTTGTCATATACGGTATTAGCTTACAACACATTAAACACGAGATTACAGATACTATATTTTTTTGTGAGGCAAAGAAAACGCTCGCGTTAAAACCACCACTGGTCTAAAAATGTTCTTATCGCCAACAATTCCCAACAATTGAGCCGAACTTGCCTAATCTTAGTCATCTAAGTATGATTAAATCATAACCGGATAACGCCCAACTCCAAATGTTATCTCCTTTAACACGTATTTCATAAACTTATGTACAAATTGTGTGGTTTTTATAACCGTATCAGAATGAGCGATATTCTAATGAAATGATTCGGCTGTCGAACGATTCATGAACTAATTAAGCTCGGTGAATGAATGAATTGAGCTTTGCCCACGAACTTCCGACAGTGAGACGGAGATAACGAAGTGTTTTCGATTGTGTCAGAGATGCGATACGACGCGGAACCTAAAGCACTGAAACAGGCCCACGAATGGTCGAACGTTCCATACTTACATAGCCTTATGATAGCTATATGATATCTATGCCTCATATCCTATGCTAACATTCTTAATCTTAACTCTTACACCCAAATATAAGTGGCAGTGATGGTTAGCAGTTGTCGGGAGGGACATACGTCGACCTTACCCCAAAAATGGTCAAATCAAAATTTCAAACATCAAATTAATTTCATTATACTGTACTACTACTTGCTGTTATTTAACAGCGTATACATCTAGAATTAATTAACTTACACCTAATATCATTTAGTGCCCCCTCGAGGTCACTCGCTTAGAGACACTTGCTATGATATCTACTTTTGTGAACAACGGTTGATTTCGATCAAATTTACAAGTCCCTTAACCTAATTGATTAAGATATATGGTATATAGACGACAATTAGTCTAGAAGATTGTCCTTCAACTAGCGAAAGAGCGCTTGGTTTGAGACTGGAATGGCGCAAGCGCAATGCAGACACATTGCGTGAGTGTGAAGGGAACGCGTAGAGCTTTGTGCTTATATCTGTCCATAAATCATCCCATCTTATTGTAAACGCTAATAAAAATTGGTCCGGTTCCTGGATCCATTAAGTATGTGTGAGGATGCACTACACTGAAAACTAGCAACAAAAATATGTAAGAAAAACGTAAAAAAGTCGCACGACCAAAAAATTCCGTATCGCCGCGTTCCCTGCAGGTCCTAAGACTCTGCCCTACCTATAAAATGTCTCAAAAGATCCCACATTGGTGAACCATGCATCGCCCCAAACTGCCATATAGGTCAGACGACTGCTGAACTAAATATAACGGACTAAAAATAACGAACTAAGCCTGTTTCAGTGAGAACTAAATGTTAAAAGGCTGGTGAATTCACCCAGACGAAGTTACCGCGGAGAATACAGTCTTTTGTGAGTATTATTGTAGATTTGTGCTCCGAACTTAGCGTGACGGCCCGAGTATGAAATGGATGCATGACAAGTAATCAATGATGAGTGGTGATAATGATGATGGTGATTCACAAAGCAACAATAACCGCCAAGTGGATGATGAAGAGTCAATGAGTATGGAGACATAAAAAATTCATATGATTATGGGGTGTGATGAGGGAAAATATCGTTAAGTATCCGTATATAATAAAATTTCTAAACTAAGCCTACCATGTAAACATGTATGTGATAAATTCATAATGAATAACTAAATTATATTGACGTTAATTAAAAAAATATATTTTTTGTCTATACAACGACTGACGGTCCTATTTTGTACCTTTTCGAGCATGTAGGATGCTCTGGGGTTTGCTCTGTTACCATGTAACACAATACTAAAAATTGAATTATAAAAGTAGGCTTCACGGACGTTAATAATTTTAGACAGTGAATTTAAGATTGATCATGAAGATTTGGTTCAGATACGGATTTCTTTAACGATTTGTATGGTGGTTGCGGTATCATTGATTGTGATCGTGATGATGTTGATGGACGTGGTGGTGGGATTTTAAACGATAAACGCGGAAGTGATGTCGAAGCACGAATCGGCTTTGATGGGAAACTTGACAGGACTGGTGACAAAGACGCTGATGGTGATGGCAAAGTCTCGTTTGCGCTCTCCCTTTCCGGTGATTTTGGCGGGGACAATGACAACGGTGATAATGACGACAGGGTCGATGTTACCGATAATGGAGGTGTTGCCAGGAAGCCTTTGACTGAGACCTCGGGCGTCTGCGAATAAGGTGGCGGAGGAGGATATCTCTGGACCGGTTGCGGTACAAGAAAATAAAAGGAACAATATGGGTAATAAACAGGATGGATCCGGTCGTTAGCGGGACATGAAAATGGATTACGATGCCGGGACGTCGACGCGGAGGATGAAGGTAATGAATCGTGCGTCCGTGACCCCGCACGTGGAGGAACAACGGATTCGGGAGCAAATGAGGGGAATGATATGGGAGGTGAATTGTGAGGCCGGTAGGGAAACCCTCGAGGCATAGTACAATATGGGTAATAAATAGGATGGATCCCGTCGTTAGTGGGACATGTATATGGAATACGTTGCGGGGACGTCGCCGCGGAGGATGAACGTGCTGAATCGAGCGTCCGTGACCTCGCACGTGAAGAAACAACGGATTCGGGAGCAAATGAGGGGAATGCTGTGGGAGGTGAATTGTGAGGCCAGTAGTGAAACCCTCGAGGCATGGCACAATATGTGTAATAAACAGGATGGATCCGGTCCATAGGACATGTAAATGGAATATGTTGCGGGGACGTCGCCGCGGAGGATGAAGGTGATGAATCGGGCGTCGGTGACCCCGCACGTGAAGACACAACGGATTCGGGAGCTGATGCGGGGAGTGATGTGGGTGGTGAATTGTGAGGTGACGATTCGTAATGAGATGCGTGAGATGGTGATGAGTTGGAGGAAGCCTCCGACGATGAAGGCGTTACGTCCAACATTTTGCGTTCAAGCTAAGAAGGGTTCGCTAGACACGTCACTAGTAATAGTGCCGCGGACCTTTAGATGGACAGATTATATCCGATACACTCTTAACCTTAAAATAACTATAATATAATATCAAAAGTTTACGGACTATGAATTACAATTAAAATTGAAAAACATTCGATTTTTATCAAAAACTTGTAAATTGTAAATTTTCTTACGCGTGTAAAACCAATTAATTATAAAGAATATCCAAAAGTCTAAGCACGTCAGCTCTTAACGTTTCTCGATACAATATTATCCAATTAACTATAAAAATCAGCCAATTTTTGGTATCAACTACACTAATACTTAAATTTGTTATATTTCACAACATTCAATGTAATTTAAGTGGAGAATAATATGAGCACATAAATCTATATTCCTAGATAGCACTAACATGAAAAGTCATGAATACGCTCCCGACAATATCTACCTATATGAAACGACAATATCCGCTGACCATACTTAACAGTACAAAGTGTTACCAATGGTCTAAATTACCGTAAATACTAAATTTATTCAATGCTATACCAGTTGAATATTATTATTATCTAACAATGTAAGTACCTAAACAATTACTTACGTGTTAAAATACAATTTAAATCTGCAATTACAATGAAACAAGCATCGAACACATCAAAATATTACACAAATATATCGTCAACGACAACGACACAGCAAATCTAATGGGAAAATATCAATAAATACCGACGCATTCGCGGCTTCAACTTAAGGAACGGGAAAGACAAATGGATTTACTCGCTTTTAATATACAGAATGCAGCGAGTGTCACTCCTAAATGTAATTTTGCATGTCAGTATGGCTGCGATTATATTATATCTACGATAAAACGGGTTAATCTAAAAGCCACCGTTTCATAGTGTTTATACAAAAGAGTACAGCGCCGATGTGAATTCAAATGTGAAAACGGCGCTACTCGATTTTCTATTTTACTTCTCCTTCTCCTTCTCGTTCTCTTTGTCTTCTGGCTCCTTCTCAGCTAACTCCTCTTTTTCGTCCTGAAATTTTTTTTATTTTTAAATTTTGAACTCTTATATTAGGGAGCGTTCAAGTATTACATCACGCAATTTTTGGAGATTATTGATCCCCATGTAACGCGCCGTAACGTAATTCAAACCCCCATCGTAACGTTTTACAAAAGGACCCCCCCTCCAAATTCGTTACGTAATACTTGAACGCTCCCTTATTACTAGTGTTAGCTTAGAGGTTTCAGACTCTTGTCCCTGAAGTCGTAGGTTCGATCCCGGGCTGTGCACCAATGGACTTTCAATGTGCGCATTTAACATTCGCTCGAACGGTGAAGGAAAACATCGTGAGGAAACCGGCTTGACATAGACCCAAAAAGTCGATGGCGTGGGTCAGGCACAGGAGGCTAACTTGCCTATTAGATTGAGAAATGATCATGAAATAGATACAGAAATCTGAGGTCCAGACCTAAAAAGGTTGTAGCGGCAATAATTTTTTTAAAATATTATTTACAAAAATATCATTGTTACACCTACCTTTTCCTTCTCTGCCTCCTCAAGCGGCTGCTTTTCTGGCTTGTCTGTGCCTTCCTTGGTCTCTTTGGCCTCCTTCTTGGCAGGAGGAGCGACCTCGCTGACACAAATCTCGTCCCAGTCGGGGTAGGCGCGCTCCTTGATACGAGACACTAGACCAACTAGGTTCGGGAACGACTCATTCATAGCATCGCGCAACAGGTGCGGCACTTCTTTGTCAATGAAGTGAAGTTGGGCTAAGTTTGCGAATGCCACAACGTCAAGCTGTAATCAAAATTTAAAACACATAAGAATACAATTCAAAATTAGAAGGGAAATTTCTGGACTACTGGCGTATTAGATGAATATATTTTATAACATTAATATGATACTAGGTAATACAAATTTGCAACTAATATCAAATTTTGATTCGAGATCGTTCTAGAAATTGGACTCGGTAGAACCAAAGGATTGGTTAGAACCAGTCATCAACACGGCCTTAGGGTTGGGATACGCACACTTTATCTATAATAATTGCTAGAAAAAGAATTTTCCAAAAATAAAATACGAAACTTGAAATCGCCCACTAATTAAATTCCTAAACGGCTGTTGCCCCGGCTAGAATATTATTGATTGTGTCGGAAAGTATTAAAAGCCTGGGCGTTGTAGCCTCCACGTCCCCCCTACCCACGCCCACTTTTTCATTAAATGAAAACGATGCTACGTATTACAAGTGCAAACATGTCTATTCCCCTTCTGCCCCCAAATATGGGGGGGGATATGTTTTATTCCCCAAATATGGTATTACACCGTTTGTCTTATTGATTATTTATAATAGCTCTCTTAAGTTATTATAACAAAAAATAACATCAAATTATTTTTTCGCCGGAAACTTAACGTGACACTTTTGCATTAGATAATATTTGCCAAAAGATTGAAATTTGATTGTCAATTTAAGTTATGATTACCTAGACCAGATGTGAGCAGCCTATTGATTATTATTAGCGTTTTTATTGATTAAATTTAAGAATTAACTTTAATTAATAATAACCCCAAATATGGGGGGGGATATGTATTATTCCTCAAATATGGTATTACACCGTTTGTCTTATTGATTATTTATAATAGCTCTCTTAAGTTATTATAACAAAAAATAACATCAAATTATTTTTTCTCCGGAAAATTAACCTGACACTTTTGCATTAGATAATATTTGTCAAAAGATTGAAATTTGATTGTCGATTTAAGTTATGATTACCTAGACCAGATGTGAGCAGCCTATTGATTATTATTAGCGTTTTTATTGATTAAATTTAAGAATTAACTTTAATTAATAATAACCCCAAATATGGGGGGGGGATATGTATTATTCCCCAAATATGGTATTACACCGTTTGTCTTATTGATTATTTATAATAGCTCTCTTAAGTTATTATAACAAAAAATAACATCAAATTATTTTTTCTCCGGAAAATTAACCTGACACTTTTGCATTAGATAATATTTGTCAAAAGATTAATTTGATTGTCGATTTAAGTTATGATTACCTAGACCAGATGTGAGCAGCCTATTGATTATTATTAGCGTTTTTATTGATTAAATTTAAGAATTAACTTTAATTAATAATAACCCCAAATATGGGGGGGGGGGATATGTATTATTCCCCAAATATGGTATTACACCGTTTGTCTTATTGATTATTTATAATAGCTCTCTTAAGTTATTATAACAAAAAATAACATCAAATTATTTTTTCTCCGGAAAATTAACCTGACACTTTTGCCTTAGATAATATTTGTCAAAAGATTGAAATTTTATTGTCGATTTAAGTTATGATTACCTAGACCAGATGTGAGCAGCCTATTGATTATTATTAGCGTTTTTATTGATAAAATTTAAGAATTAATTTTAATTAATATAAAGAAAATTTAAACAATTCAGTTATTATTATAGACCGATAATAATTCAAGTTAACGTTGTAAAGCTGATTTGAATATAAATTAATATAAAAACAAAGGCTTTCAGGATAAAGCTATGCTTACAAAGCAGCATTTGAGAACCCCGTAACATACTCGTATTTAGCATTGATAAATCATGTTGCAACATATCATAATTAAGCAAACCGCGCACCAAAAAAAAAGTAACAGATACTCACAAGAGTGGGCTCGTCTCCAAAGAAGAAAGGCTTGTCGGAGAGCAGGTCCGAGAGCACGCGGAGATCGTTCTTGCCGAACTCGATGATCTCTTCCTGACTGTGTACCCCGATGCCGTGGGCTTTGGCCTTCTTCATCCCCTAAAATTCAAAATGTATAGAACAAGGAATTTAAACTTATTGCATTTGCTAACCCACAAAAGAGCACTACCAATTGTCGCAGATATTGAAGCAACTACTGTAGCTAAATTACATGAGCACCGACGCTACCTTTATCAACATTTCGGTATCACGGTCGAACGCGAAGTAGATAGGAGTGCAACAGGTGCATCGTTATTTAAACGACACCAACGCTCCTACCCAAGGGGGTGTGGGGTGGCAGTTACATAGCAACATGGCTTGGGGCAAAATGGCTGCGATGTACTAAAGGGGGAGGGGAGCCGGGGGACGGGGGATATCCCGGACCTAGCTAGCTTCGACCTAGGTTCCAGATATTTCTATTAAAAGCAAATAGACAAAGGCAGTATATTAAAAACATATTTAACAGAATGCAAGCTCAAGTTTGTAAAGTTACTAACCTTACGTCCAGAGGTGAGTTTGTAGCAGAAGTTCAAGATTGCGTTGGGCAGACGTGTGTTAAGAGCGTTCTGCAAGTTGACCTGGTAACCCTTGATGACACTATCCGGGTACTTAGCACGCCACCAGAGCATCACCCATGATAGATGATTCTCGATCATCGATACCATAGCATGAGTGACGACGCGTTGTTCCGGCGTTAGGGCTGCACGAAAGTTACAAAATATATTGACATTGGCATGCACCGAGTGCACATGCGCGATGCCTAGGCGACTATCTAGGATCGACTATGTAGGTCGCCTGGGATTTCCAGGGTCTCGAGCGAGCCAAAACCTATTTATTGATTGTGGGAGGTGACATGACCCGAAACAACGCCCCCGCGGAAGTCTAGCGTCGCTAAATGAATTTGTGTCGGCGGGGTCTGGAAATCTCGTTATCTGTATAATAAATATAATATCGTAGGCTGTTTTTAAAGGTATTTGAGACAGGCAGTAGTTCCAGAAGATCTATTTATTAATTACATGTAGGCAAATTTTTTAAAAATAATTTCTATAAAATACCTGCGTCAAGGTCCTTGTTGTACTTCTCGGAGAGCTGCTTGATGATGAAGGTGCTGTCAGCGATCTCTTCACCGTTCAACTCAATGAATGGGAGCTGGCCTTTCTTAGACCTGAACTTAGCTTTGTGGTCTACGTTCTGAAACAACGAATTATCGTTTTTTATATATCTCCCAATTATATCTATAACGGATAGATAGTTGCTGACGTGAGCGATAGGTGTCTAGTAAGTGAAAAAACAATTTTGTAGCAATTTTAAAGCAAGTTTCCAAAGATTCACAAAATTAAAAAGATATTTCATGAAACAACTTGAGATAAGGTATATACATTATATAAAATAGATTTCTAATTTCGCAGCATTATTAAAGTGAGAGATTACAGTCAAAGACACTACAACAAAAGCCTTTGTGTTTCACGGCATTCGTTTTGTACAAGTACCATTCTCACAGATAAAATGCATTAAAACTATAATGCTCTCTAAGAATATGATCTAAGAGTCTGATATAACATATATATAGAGATTTACTTTAGAGTTTAGACTAAAGAAGGTTAAAATTTTCAATAGCCAAATATATGGCGGTTAAATTTCCAAAATGTTATTCTCATTCAAAACATGGCGCACGCAACGCATTAGCCTTTAATAAATACAGCCTCAATTGTAAAATCGCAGTATTAAAGCTTACCTTCGCAATATCAACAGGAAGTAAATGGAAACAGCATTCGCAATTCGAAATTCAAATTTTGTTTGCTCCGAATGTAGTGCGCATGCGTTATAAAGTGCACTGCCCGATAAAACCCGGCGAGCAAAGTTCCTAGTGGAAGGCGTCTATAAATCAATTTTCACCCGCCATGTTGGATGGACATATCAGTGTACTTTTACCGGCATAGCAACAACCTGGGATAGTTGGGGCGCATGCGTTAGCCCGGGCGGGGTGTCGCTTTAGACCTTTTACCACCCCACCCTACATAGGTATGCGTGGGTTAAACCAGGCTAGTATATTATACATATTCGCAAAATTTCGCTAGCGGCTCATCATTGTATATAATTAAAAAGCACCCACAGGATTTTACCTAAAAAACCTTTATAACACGTGTATTTTTCATATTTAGATACTTTCATTTCACAAAATTGCATATATTTTTTTATCAAAACAGTTACAGGCATTTGTACTCATTTCTGGCTACTGTCTTTGTTCTCGAATAAAAAATACAACATAAATAAGAAACCATACCAATATTATTTAATTCTTAATATCGAAAAATTCAAGATAAATCAATCATAATTAAAAATATGTAGATAAATCGAACACTAAAATAAAATTAAAAACTTCCCTTTAATGCTTCAAGCAAATAAATATAAAAATAATTAACTTATGTTTCTCGAGCCACCACAGGTGCGTTTTTTTCATGTCAGCGGAATGGCTTTTAACAAAGTTTGCTAACACTTTAGAGAGCGAATATTTCAGTTCAGACGAGGTGTCGTTATCTCTTTGATGTGAGTTAAAGTAAGCGTCCCTACGTCAGTCTGGTCTGCGATTTACAATCAATATTGCTAAAATACTACAGAAACCAGTGTCTACAAGTTGGGGTATAGGGTCTTAGCATATGTATTATAGTAAAATGTGACTATTACCAAAATTTAGTTTTTAATTATTGCATAAAAAGATCACTATTTATTTTAACTGCATATTACGACATCTTTTATATTTCATCGAGAATTCGCAATTACATACATTAGATTTTAGTCTTTTGTCAAACGCCAGCATTTTGATAATCTTATAATAACATTTTATTATATTTAAATAGTATCGAAATGCTTAGAAACTATTTTCAATTGGTAGCAAATTATTTAAACCAAACAATTTACGAATGTTTTGTGTTATCTTAAAGGTTTTGAACTCATTAACATAATCAAGACATCGGTCTAATTATTATGAAAACAAGTTATTAACATGTCTAGAGGCACGGGGTCTCATTCCCGCGAAAGGGATCTATCTGCTCATCGACAGTTTGAACGAGTTTTAAATTAGAACATTTTAAAATTCGAGAATTTTATTACTAACTACGAGACAGTTATTCTGAAAATTAAAAATATTTAAAAGTAATTATTGAATCTTTGAATTTAAAACGAAGACAACTAACCTCACTTAATCTCTAATTTTATTCTTTTAAGTATTATTTCGTGTTTCCCTGTAAAATTACTTTTATTAAAAAATTTATAGGAAACCCATTTAACTTGTATCAGAAACTTTACTATAAATATTAACGAACTCGACAAGTATTGTTATACGTAACAAAAAGGATGTTATAATACTATAAATGTGTGAGCATTTACAATTACCAAGTTTAAACAATTTCTAACAATAGCTCTCAGTGGATGTGTGCGGGTGGTTTATCTCCGGTATCTATGGCGACGGGCAGCCCCGCGCGGCGGGAGGGGAGAAAGGCAGCTGTATTGATTTTGGGTTCAGCGGCCTCACCACTACGTAGCGTCCTCTACACAACTAAATGTGATTTCCTTGGCTATACCGATATGTGGGTGGGTTGCGGGCAGTAATCTTATCTCAAATAACTTTAAGATAATTTAAGCTACTATTACGCAACTAAATTCAAATTTAACGACTTATTCCCAATACCATTCGTAATGTTAAGTTTTTATTTAATACAAACTATATACTACTGTTACAATATTTTGGAATTACTAATAAGCTAAATATTTTTTAAGCTGTTGAACTTACACGTAACATAAAACAACCGACAATTTCTAGACAGTACTAACGATCGTGTTTGTTTTCTCTTTCGCGAACAAAGAGATCCCACGGAAGGAGGACGAATTAAACAATTAACATGCTTTGGTCCCGTTCGACTTTTGTTATCGCACAATTAATGATTTAACTGACTTTAGACGGGTCACTGTTTCTCTTAAACAAAAAAAGTTTATCTTAAAAAAAGTACTAAAACGTCACACTAGGTAATAATAATAATATGTTTTGTCTATCAATCAAAGCCAATCATTTTGGGTTATTTTTGGACGCACATAAATCATAACATCAAATTTAATTATTTCTTTCGATGATTACGGAAATTGAAAGATTGGTTTCCTTGAATTTTTAAGATATTCCTATATATAAAGTAATAAAAAGTATTGCCACCTACACAGAATATTCAATACCTCACAAATGTAACAGCTTTTGCTAATAAAAGATTTCTTAACTTTACAAATTTAGCTCTCTTATACATGACTCTTATCAGATTATAATAAAGAAAAACTATTATTATTTTAATAATAACAATTTGACAGTTTGAGCTTTTTTTAAGCTCATAATCTGGTATCTTTATACGAATTATAAAGATACCATTCTAATTATTTAATTGTAACTATATTTTTTTGGTATAACTATATTTTTATGGTAACTCTTGACATACAATTTCAATGAACCATAGAGTTACGTTATGCGTAAGTAAATAAGTAGATATTTCATAGAAAACTCCATATATGTTTGTGAATGTATTTTTTATAAAATTGTTCCCGGTGTTTATAACGTGATGGAATTGTTTTAAATATGTCAGCATAAGCATAAACGACTTATATACAGCTAGCATTAAGAGCTATACATTTTTATAAAAATATTATATTATTTTACACACTGCAAGGAAACATGTCACATTTGTTTCCGTCTGCGCCTCGTGCGTTTGGCATTTGCAAAGTTTTTTACGACTATTTCGGAAATAAACGTTTTATTTCAATTTCCTCAAGAGTCTCAACGGTGAAAGCCTTTAAACGAAATTAAATAAATCAGTGGCGCTACAACCTCTTTAGGTCTGGGCCTCAGATATCTGAATCTGTTCCATGATCATTTTTCAATCTAATAGGCAAGTAGGTGATCAGCCTCCTGTGCCTGACACACGCTGTGACTTTTTGGATCTAAGACACGTCGGTTTCCTCACGATGTTTTCCTTCACCGTTCGAGCGAATGTTAAATGCACACATAAAAAGAAAGTCCATTGGTACACAGCCGGGGATCGAACCTACGACCTTAGGGATGACATTCGCACGCTGAAGCCACTAGGCCAACAAAGCTTTAAACAATCTGTCTAATATTTATTGAGGTACGACGTTCATACACAATATAAAACTGTTTACAACGATATATTTATCACATGATAAGTAAAGAGATCAAGTAGCTATTCAAAATGGACGCTGGATTTGCATAAGCACACGATCCCAAGCTTCCTGCATTCAGAAACAGGTTAATGTACGTGGGTGGAATAAGGGTGATGGTGATTGCAACTGCGGGATTTAACTGCCATGGAATTCTTGTCTTTTTAACTGCTTATGCATACAATTAGTTCAATAAAGAAGAAAAAGTAAAGAAACAATTGCCTGTTGTTCAAATGTCGTATTGATTATTATTTATAAGTGCCAGTTAAAGAAATGAAAGTTTCAACTGTAAACAACTTGATATAAATGTTTGAAGTGAATACATGTGATAGGCGTGTGGCAGCTGGATATTTTTCTAATATTTTGGAACTAAATAAAGCCTCAGAACCTCAGAAATCAGTGATAACGTATTTGAATGGTGAAATTTATAATTGGTTCATAGTTTTTGTGTTTACCCATTACTTAATCACTTCTGTTTAATCCAAAATCAGCATCGAAATTAAAAACACTATTTATCATGACATGAATATATGTGTTACAATTTAATTCCTGCTTGATAAACAATGATTGAAATTGCTAATATGGCAGTGTTGACTATGCAAAAAAAAGCATATTATGCTTACGTTTAAAAATGAAAAGAAAATTTATCAGCGATGTTCAATTACCGTCGCTAAGACAATTTATAGCCATGCTCCTGGGATGCGAACGTATTCAATTCACTCTAGGGTTGATCTTCAGTTTACTACTTTAAAATGTTTAAGAAATGATTATTTAGTTAATTTTTGTTTTATTTAAGTTAAAGAAACGGAAATGTTTCATTTGACATGCTGCCGTGTTATACTGTAATTTAATCTTGACTATACAAAAGTGTAATAGCCGAAAAGTAGTTGCCGACAATATTATAAACTCTATTTAACACTAGTTTCTCCACCGTACAACAAATCTTCAAATCAACAGCTAAATATAGTACACCAGTGTTTTCTAACGCCCACGCCAAAAAAGGCATATCTTATAAATATAATATTCCAAGATCACCTTTCGTCTAGTTATTGAATATTGCAATTAAAATAATTACTGGGCGTTATTCTTTATAAAAGAATATTTTACTGTAAAATAGATAATAGTTATACGGAAATGAATCACGAAACCAACTCAGACGATAAATTTATTTATCTGTGTGTGTGTGTCAATACCAGGGAACAGCATTTATGCAGGAGTAGGCGAAAATTAAAGATTTGACACTTTTTGACACTAGGAGACTAAATCTAGTCTAGTAGTCTATAACTTTCATCAAAATTGAATGAAATTAGAATTTACTTGAACTTATGATTACATAAATTATCCAAGCAATTACTTAGGCGTCATACAAAGTGGGTAATATGAAAATGTGTCGAGACGTCGACGCATGAGAGCTCATTTAGCATAAAGCCAAGAAGATTTAATGTGAAAATCTCTGTGCCTAGCATAATTAAGCACTCCACTTTTAACAACGTTGTGAATACACCACAAGCATTTGTGTTCGCATTCATCAAACCCCGAGATCATGTATTTAAATCTCCTATGCGTCAACGAATTTCTCTTTTATTGAAGAAATTTTAGTTACCCGAAAGGGTGAAGAGCCCGCCCCAATCGCGTATAAGATGCGTGACGATTAACTTTAGACATAAATGATGTAGATAAATCGAACCCACAATCATATATCCCGCCTTTAAGCAATAATTTCCGTCTCCATTTATTAGTTTAATAAGTACAATTCTTGTTTGAAATAGCAAAGTTTAAAATTTCTAAGTTGACAGTACTTCTATTGTTAGGCTATATCGTCTGTGTGTGTATCAGACAGGGTTTCGTCGGGCGCACCCCGCGTGCCTGGGAACAGCGGGGCTAGTTGGTCGATGGCAGGTCCGCGCAGTCGCAGACAGCAGGGTAACGACCGACATTGGACGCGCCCAGTTTTACTTATATTGAAAATTATTATCTATAAGGATGTATAGAATAATACGAAAAGCAATGAAATTCAAAATGCTAGTAATCAATGCCTGTATACCTTACAATAAAAAGTAAGTAAAAGCAGTTACGCTGATTTACTTCAAGTCTCTGTATATATCTAAAGTTACAAAAGTAACATATGTATAGGGGGCTGGGAGCCAGGTATTTCTGAAGGATGAGTCGACGTATTGGATTTATGGAAGAATTTTACATTTGAAAATGCTTTCATTTTAATAGAAATGCGCAACGAGAAATATTAGATTGAGAAACGGAAAATTGTCGTGGTTATGATAATCACGTATTTTCACAGGAGGAAACTTTCCACCGGCCATTGGCTTCAATAACCACTTTCACCATCAATTCAGACAATGTATGAAGTCCCTTTGGCAGAACCAAACACAATTTAAATGACAAGTGATCAGTTTTCTTTGTGCAACAAAACCCGAAACAATTATTGTTTGCTAACACTGCGACAAATACAAACCCACGCGCTGTACGTTTAAAATACTTATTTACATATGTAAAAACTATTACATAGTAATAATAATAACGATGATTAATGAATACGCCCGATGAATAAGAATTCCATATAACAGTATATTTTTATATGATGAGTGT